AACCCAAACAGAGCTACACCCAGGCATATAATAATCAAAATACCAGAAATCCAATATAAGAGCAAAATATTAAAAGCCATCAGAGAGAAGAAACAGATCACTTACAAGGGAACACCCATCAGAATTACAACAGACTTCTCAGCACAAACCATCAAATCACAAAGAGCGTGGGGGGAAATAATTCAAGCTTTGAAAGATAATAACCTATAGCCAAGATTGATATATCCTGCACAACTATCCCTGGAAATTGATGGAAAAACAAGGTGCTTCCAGGATAAAGAGGAACTAGGGGAATTTGCAACCACTAATTCAACTCTACAGAGAATACTGCAGGATATTCTAAAACAGAAAAATACCAAGAATCCAGAAACAGTGGCAGAGAGGCCACAATGAATGGAGCAGAAAACAAAATGAAGAAGACAAACTGGCAACTAATGACAGAGAAAAAGATCTCAACAGGAATGAGGCAGAGAAGATTGGATGATAGGATCAGCTATTTTGGAGAAAACAACGTCATAATAGGTAATGCTGATTTAATATCATCTTGTTTTGAAGTCCCATCAAGCTTTTGTTCTTCTGTCTCCATAGGTCTTAACATGTTGTATCTTACTGGATTTTATTATATGTGATAGTATAAACAAAAACTTTTATAGACAAGGAGATTATACAGAAACCACTGTTCATTTTCTGTTAATTGATTCTAAATACCCTGTAATACTGTCATTCTCTTGAATGGTTTTACATTGTTTTGATATATTTGATGCTACAGTATATGAAGTTATACTCAAAGATTTCAAGGAAAGAGACAATATGGTAACTACTCTTGTGTCGGGATTATCTTGTGGTGAAACACTATTTTGCTTAAATGGTTATGTTTTGATCTGCGCTGTTTTGTTGTTATGCTCTCTTTTATCTCAATCTCCATTTTATTATTTACTTTTTTATTTTTATCCTTTTAAGGGAAAAATAAATAAAAAATAGCAGGATATATTACAGTAACCCACTTTGATTTACTATTAACTTGAGTTGAAGCCCTGTATTGCTCTCACCATCTTGTTTTGACTGATGTTCCTCTATTCTGTTTTGCTTGATAGTACCAGGTTCGAAAGTTTAGGCAACAGCTGTGAAGATAGTGGGATTCATTATGATGCCCACTCTGGTTGACTATTATCTACTTTTGAAGACCTGTAATGTCTCCAATGTTTTAGTTTTGTTGGTTTCATTCTTTACTGTTTTATTCAATTTTATTATAACTGATGATATAGGCAATTCTTTTTGAGATAGTGGGAGGCATTATGGCAACCATTGTCGATCACCTTGTATTATGTTTTTACATTATCTATTATGTCCACCCTTTTGATTTGACTGACTCTGTTCTGTTATGTCACATTTGGTTTTACTCTCTTCCAAAAAAGTAGTAAGAACTGTAGGAGTAATAAAACCCAAAATGTGTAATAGTCATTATACAAAAGAGAGGAAAAGAAAGTGCTCTAAAGGATATAACTGCATATATATTTAAGTGTATAAGATAGATAACCATATTACTGAGTTTTGTTAGATCATTGAACAGAACTGTTTGCAGTCTCACTGTTTGAATGTCCACTTTATATGCTTTAATTTTGTAACTTAAACAAATATTTCTAAGATGACAATATGTAATCCATTAACTAGTGATTTCCTACTGTTTATTTTTTTCTGAAATTCTGTATATCATGTACCCTTTTCTGCTTTTTTTCTTTTTCTCCTTAAATTAAATTTTTAAAAAATTAAAAAAAATAAGGGTTATAAGATTCAGGGATGGGAGAAAGGAAATTATGTCAAATGTTTCAAACCAATGGTAGATGAGAAGAAAAAAATTGAAAATATGGAAGTTATTTTTCTTAGATTAGGTACATTATTCACAAGAAAAAAAATGAGGATGAAAGACAATGAAAGTTTTTAAAGCAATAAGATCAATTTTCTTCCCAAGAAATGTAGGACCAGTTTTATTTCTGATGAGATCAACCATGAGACAATCATAAAAGGAAAATAAATGAACATATCTGTTTGGGTTTTAGGTCGTAGTTGGCAACACAGATACTTGAACTTAAAATTACTTTTGATAAACTAGATAAGAATTTTCAGTACTGCTCTTCCTCACAGAAAAGAGGCGACATGAATGAGCCTGGTGAAAGCCACGCTCCCTGCACAGACTGCGGGGATGTACAGATGGTGAGAACCTTCTGGTCTTGCTGAAACTTGCAGAAAAGCACCAGAGAGTGTGCGGCTTTTAGAAGCAACGGCCAAGGAAAATATGATTACTGCCATCTGATCTGGATCAACTCCAGTTAGCAGAGTTATAGCGAATCATCTCCTTAGATGTATATGGTTTTTAACCTGTACCAGGGAAGTTTGTTTTGAAATCAATTTGATCTTACAAGCACTTCTTGAAAGGCAAATAACCTGACAATGTATTTTTAATGTGTATAGAATTCTACTTTTTAAAAGACAGGGGGCACTCTTTCTTATGAGTTAAAATGTATTTTGGCAGGTTATCTGACATTTAGTTTTGATTATAATAATTATTATGGCCACTACCTGTATGACCTGTATGTTATTACTATAGTTTCTCAGAGGAGACCAATAAAATCATTTAGGCTGTTTGTTACAAACAGTGAGAACATTTATTTCCCCCGGAAAGAACAAGACATCTTACTATCTTTCAGGAGCACCTCCCTGAGACGGGTTCATTAAGTAATAACATATTTTTTGTAGATACACTTGACACTTAGAGAACGTACGTCAGAGAAGAGACAGAGGAAACTTTCAGCATTGAAGACAACTAACTATTCAGGCCTCTCAACATTTAGAGAATAAAGAACACACAACAATGAAAAAGAGGAAGGGTTTGCACAAAGTTCCACCCTTCCAAGGTCACCAACTAGAGACTAAATCGTAGACTATTTGGGGAAAGCCTGGCACACGCACAGTGCGGACAAATAGGTACAGTCTACACCAAGTATAATGTCTTGTATTCATTTTTAGAGGAAAATATTTAAAGAATACCATCATAATCACCTGATGCTGCCGCAGGAAAGGGTCCCTAAGCACCCTGTATCTGGTACACAGTTGGGAGTTAGCGCTGGGCTCCCTATAGTGGACATCAGGGCGCCAAGCCACGGTGGGCCAGCTTTGGAGTCTGGGAGAAGTGTGTGCATCCCAGGCAACCTGACACCCTGTGCATGTGGATGGTAAAATGATTCTCACCAGTTCAGCGAGGACAGTAATTATGTCTTCATTATAGGGCTGCTGTAAGGATTAAAGGAAACTCTTGGCGCAGAGCAGGAAGCCCAGCTAAAGGTTACCTCACAGTGTCTTCGAAGCCCCAGTTCTCTGACGGTTTTCATGGGCTCGGACTGACCCTAACCCCGGATTACAGACTTAATCGGCCTGTCCACCAGCACTCATCGCCTATGTTACGTTCTTACTGTCTTTGCTTATTTAATTCCTGTCTTTGTAATCTTCATGTCTTAGCCCGGACACTTCTGGTCCTGTTAGAGGGAAACAGCCATGACTGGCTTGCTGGGTGAGTTCCCAGCACTGAACAGAGGACCCGATACACTGTCAGCGCTTAGCATGTATTTAGACAATGACTAATTCATGGATATTTTGTTAATTTATTAGCGTAAGAAAAGTTGGTGAAAGGTGCCTTTAAAATACACAATTTTATAGAGTTAAAAATACAAAACAAAAATCCTGCAAGGAAATATGCTGCAATACTTGGAGACAAGTACAATGAAAAAAAAAAAAAAAAAAAAACAAAAACGAGGCTTTTTTAAGGGAGTAGAGGTGGAGCTGCTTTTTTCTTTGCAGGGCTAAGAATCAAACCCAGGGCCTTGCGTTCTAGGCAACTGCTCTACCACTGAGCTACATCCCCAGCTACTGGAGTAGCGATTTGATTTTGCTCAGGTGAATGGATGAATAATGTTGGGGACTTTCTATTAATACTGTGTGTGGGAGGTGTGGGGGTGGGAGATTGGTTGTTGGTTTTTTGGTACCAGAGTCTGAACCCAGGGCCTGTTCACTGAGCTACATGCTTCACCTTTTCATTGAGATAGGGTCTCACTAGGTTTTTCAGACGCATTTCCATGCCCTTGCCTAGGCCCCCCAGAATCCTAGATGCCAGCTGCCAGGTTGGATGAAGCAGTCTTGGCTGTGAGTGACATTGCTTCGGGCTCTGCGGCTCGTGGACTTGGGAGGGGGCCTTGGGGAGGAGGTCTTGGCGTTCATCACATCCTAGGCTCACCTTGATAGAGAAAGAAACAAATCACGGCCTCTGTGACCTCGCGGGAAGAGGCACCACCAGTTCCTTCAAAGATACTCGCGGCTGCATCAATACCAGTAAAGCTACTGATACCCCTTCACCCAAGCTGAACTGCGAGGAGTCTGGCGAGGCCGCAGAGGCTGATGTTGGAGGAGGCACCACCTTGCTGCGACGCGATGAAATCGCCCCACCCGAGCACAGGAAAAGCTCAAGCGCACCCATGCGTCGGGCAGCGGTGAAGTCCCAAAGGTCCCTAAGGACCTCGCCCGTCCGCACGCGTGGCCAGAGCCTCCGCCCACCTGCACAGAGACTGGGCCTCGGAGATTTTCCTCCCCCGGCCTGGGACCCATCCACGGCGGCCAGGCCTGCAGCGGCGGGAAGCCCAGCGACTTCATCTGTGCAATGGAAAGCCTCCCAATCCTTTGGGAAGTTTCGGGAATCAAACCTAGGTTAGTTTGCGTCTGTTACCGGATTGTTCCCGTGCTGGGAAGGCCTGGATGGGTGAAACGCTTCCTCTCGCGCCGCCCCTCGCCGCGGCCCCCGCCCACGCCACGCCTCCCGGGGACCGGGAGCGCAGCTCTGCTGGGCGTTCCGGGGAGTCCCGGTGGGGGAGAGGGTCGCAGCACGCATGCGCGCCGGGGCGCCGGTCCCCATAAGAGCCGAGCGCGGCGCCCAGCGAGCGGAGTTAGAGCTTGTCCGGAACCGGGAAGGGGAGGTGCGGGCGCGGGCGCCCATCGCCCCGAGGAGTGAAACTTCCGTGGGAGGCTCCGAGCCGTGTGCGCCTTCCCAGGGCACGCCAGCGACGAACCGAAGGCCAGCGTCCGGCGCTTGGGGCCGCAGAACCTCCTGCAGTCCGGAGAGCCGGGGCTGCCTCCGAGACCCTCGTGCAGCAGCGACCGCGCTGACCGCCAGCCCGGCGGGCTCCCGGACCCCCGCCCGCGCCCTGGACCTCCCGGGGCGGCGTGCCCCCGGGGAGTGACCGCCGGACCTGGGGAGCGGAACTTGGCTGCCGCACCCTCGGGGCTGCTCCGGCGCGCGGTGGAGCCATGGGGACCGAGCTGGGAGCCCGGGAGGCTGAGCACCGCCGGCCGCTGCACTTGCTGCCCGGAACCCTGCGCGCGCTGCCCGCCTGCCGCGCCGCTTCTCGCCGTTGGAGAGCTGAATAAAGGAAGGGAGACGCGCCCCGTTAGCGTGGGACCCGGAGGCTGAACCCCTCGTGCAGCGACCTGGATCCAAGTCGGCAGCGGTGCGCCCAACGGTCACGGGCTCTGGCGAGCGTCCCCTTGGGGATGAGGTGGATGGGTCCCACAGCAGGAGAAGGCTCCAAGGACCGAGGGACAGCAGCCCCGGCGGCGCCCTGACGCCCCGAGAAAGGTCTCTCCAACTTGCTCTGCGGAGGCCAACCTGCCCACGCGACCCGGGCCGCCTGGCCGGGAAAGGAGATGCCTTAGGAGTCCCTGACCCTGCGGCCGGGCTCCTGCGGCTCCTGGACGTCGCGGCACACGGGAGAGTCCCGCGCGGAAAGCGCCGCGAGGGACCGTTAACGAAGAGTCTCGAGGGTCGCCGAGACCGCTCTGCACCTTCTTGGGGTGGTGCCATGTGGGGCGCACGTCGCGCACCTCCCGCTTCCTGTGGCACCGCCGCTCTGCTCCTGCCGCTGCTGCTGGCTGCCGTGCTGGCGGCGGGGGCGCGGGCCACCGGTGAGTACTGCCACGGCTGGCTCGACGCTCAGGGCGTCTGGCGCATCGGCTTCCAGTGCCCCGAGCGCTTCGACGGCGGCGATGCCACCATCTGCTGCGGCAGCTGCGCGTTGCGCTACTGCTGCTCGAGCGCTGAGGCGCGCTTGGACCAGGGCGGCTGCGATAACGACCACCAGCAGGGCGCGAGCGAGCCTGGCCGGGCGGACAAAGAAGGCCCTGATGGCTCGGCAGGTAAGGCGACCCAGGGCGCAGCGCAGAAGGGGAGGGCTGCTAGCTTTGTTAGGTCAGCAGGGATCTGGGAGGCTGGAGAGGGTTGAGATTGGGAGCGCTGAGATTTCAGGAAAGAGCTCGCAGGCCAGAAGGCGGAGCCTGTGCTCTTTCACATCCATTGATTGTGCTTAGTAGCAATTCGCCACCCTGGGCCTCAGTTTCCCCATCTGATCGCTAAAGGGTGACATGGCTTGGATTTGCCAAAGACAAGTCACACACCTACGGCACTGTGGCCTATAAACAGCGCCCAGATTGCTTCCCTTTAGGGCCCTCTTCCCCTCCTGTGCCCCAGGGCTCCACAGGACTCCATTTCTTGGGGATACCCAGACATGGCTTGTACATACCCTCCACTTAGGCATCCTGACTTGGACACTTCCTTTGAACGCTCTTCAGAAGGCAGGTGGCTCCTTAGGGGGCTTTGCAGTGTGTATGTGTGCTGGACGTTATGGAACCCCTGGGGACTCAGCCACACCTGGGCAGTAGTGGGCTGCCCCTTTCCCTACCTGAGGCTTTTGTACTGTGTTGCTCTCCAGGTTAGCTGTAGGTATGACACCTGGAGCTGTGTCCAGCCTTGCTCTTTGTGGCTTTGACTCTTTTAATTGGGTATTTTTTAAAATGTGAAAGCTACAGTTGGAAAGTAATCTCATGAAGAAAATTTCAAGGTTGTACTTCCTCCAGTCTTTAGAAGCCTTCTCAGACTGCATCGCCAGAGGAGCTACACCAGGGTGTGTGTGTGTGTGTGTGTGTGTGTGTGTGTGTGTGTGTGTGTGCAGAGAGAGAGTTAGAGGTAAAATTCAAGTCTGTCCCAGAAGGCCATCTCCCTTTATTTTGCTGGTGTTACATTAAGTAGATGGCTTTTTCCCAGCCCCATGAGCCCAGGCTTGGCACTGTCTGAGCACTGGCACCTACCTCCTGGTTTCTGTGTTTCTGTGACTCTCTCTCTGGGACCTAGTTCGAGATAGCACTTGCCAGCCCCGTTCTCTTTGCAGTCAAGCGTTTTATTAGAATGCTGCACCCATTGTTTGGGCTGCTTTGAATCTGGAGGGAGGAGAACTTGGTAATTTTAGAGAAGGTGCCATTTTAAACTGCAGGCTCAGCCTTGCCCAGTGTGTGGCCTCAAGAAATCAGCCAGGGCCTAAGCTGCTACAGTAAGGTGTCCCCCTGCTGAGGCGGGCTAGCTAATGATCTCTAGAAAGTTGGGATGGCTTGGGACAGAGCAGTAGGCAGCATCCTTAGGATGCTGGTATTGTGTGTGGGTTCCTTCTTCATTCTGCTTTTAAACTCCTTTCCTTAAAAATCCTTTTCCTGTGCTTCTGCAAGTGAAGGACAGCATGCCTAATTAAGCCTGCGGGCTGGAGGCGGGGCTTATGGTAGCACAGCATTCTTTACTCCTGTGTAGTTATTTACACTTCCAATTAAAAATCCTGGAAAGAGAACAGTAATTTCTTCCCTGTACTCATTATGCAGGCCGAGACTGGGGTTAACTAGTTTTTGCTGTCACGTTAGGGGTAAAACATTTTTTCTTAGTATTTCTCAGTTACCCATTGGGGACTGATCTTAATTTAGAGAATGAAATATTTGTAAACTCTGCAGGAAGAAGCTGGCCTATCTGTCTGCAGTCTTCCCTAGTGAGCCTGTAGGAATAAGGCAGTTAGAACAGGGGTGCAGTGGGGTCAGCTGTGCTGGGGGCTGTGGCAGGTTCTCCCTGCCTGCTGGGCCCTACATGGAGAGCACTGGCCCTGTTCAGCTGTGAAACTCGAGGTGCTCTTCTGTTGTCAGCCTTTGGGCGAGTGTGTACCTCTAAAGTACGTTTTAGGGACTATTATTTTTTGGCATTATTTTTCAGGGATTCTAAAAACCCACCCTCCAGGAACACAGTCTGTAGAGGACGGTCAGTGGCTACACCTGACCTCAAAGAGATGGGCTCTTTCCTAAAATGCTGTCCTCCTATCTGACCATGCATTGGCACTGTGCCAGCAAGACCTGCTGAGTCCCGAATTCACGAATTTGTACCTTGCCATCGCTGTGTCTGGTCACTTTCCCATTGCTCAGTGCTCACATGGGGCAGGATGCCCCGCCTGAGAACCAACCCTGCGGCTAGGCAAGGAGGTGTGAGAGATTTTGCTTTTGTATGTTTATATATGTGTTTGTGGGAGTTTTTGCTTATGTATTTATTTTTTGATGGACATGGTAATTACATATACTTACGGTGTATGATGTGAAGGTCTGGTGAACATGTCAGTTGGGGAATGATTGATGCAGGCTAATTAGCATAGCCATTACCTTATACTTGTACCATGTCTTTATGGTATGTTTTTACCTGTATCACCCGGCTATGCCATAGGTCACCAGAACATGCTGCTCCTAGCTAGCTGTAACTTTGTGCTCCATGGCCCGCCTTTTCGTGTCTTTCCCTGCCTGCTACTCTCCCAGGCTTGGGAAACCAGTGTTCTACTCTTACCTGCTGTGATACCAACTTTATAAATTTGTGGGAAGTTTTTATTTTTTGTAGCATCTCAGACTCTGAGTTAAATTATTGATTTATCTGCCCACTAAAAAAAGAACTTGCTTAAAAATGGCAAAAGAGACATTTTTGAGGAACATAAGACTAAGGAGAAAAAAAATCTAAGAAAACTCATTGTGACTCTGCAGATCCTGTCTACGTAAGAGGGTTAGAACCATAGCAGGTTTAACACCATAAGCCAGTACTTTGCTAAAACTCTGCCGTTTGTCTCCATCATTGCGGTAGCTGAATGGAATGGTACATATTAATGGTTTAGCCCTGAGGGCCGTTCAGCCGCACCTAAGCCGTCTTGGGCCTTCCTGGAGCAGTCCCCAGAGCCTGGTGCATCTTCTGCACTGTTCCCGTGAACGAGACGCCCAGCCTGGGCTCTGTGTTCCTCCTCTCAACATTGCTGGTCCACCTGTTGTCACTGCCAGTCTCCGTTCTGTTTTCTGCATTCTCAGAGTAGATCATAATGCCGTGTTTCCCCCCTTCTCCCCAGTTCCCATCTACGTGCCCTTCCTCATTGTGGGCTCCGTGTTTGTCGCCTTCATCATCTTGGGGTCCCTCGTGGCGGCCTGTTGCTGCAGATGCCTCCGGCCCAAGCAGGAGCCCCAGCAGAGCCGTGCCCCGGGGGGCAGTCGCTTGATGGAGACCATCCCCATGATCCCCAGCGCCAGCACCTCCCGGGGCTCGTCCTCCCGCCAGTCCAGCACAGCAGCCAGCTCCAGCTCCAGCGCCAACTCAGGGGCCCGGGCGCCCCCAACACGGTCACAGACCAACTGCTGCTTGCCCGAGGGGACCATGAACAACGTGTACGTCAACATGCCCACCAATTTCTCTGTGCTGAACTGTCAGCAGGCCACCCAGATAGTGCCACATCAGGGGCAGTACCTGCATCCTCCATATGTGGGGTACACGGTGCAGCACGACTCCGTGCCCATGACGCCAGTGCCGCCTTTCATCGAGGGCCTGCAGCCTGGCTACAGGCAGATCCAGCCCTCCTTCCCGCACACCAGCAGCGAACAGAAGATGTACCCCGCAGTGACAGTATAGCTCACAGCACCCCGGATTCCTTTACCAGCCTAGGGAGCACTGGGCTGGACGGCTGAGGGGAAATTCCGCCCCCGGAATGGGATTGCCTGTGTGATTCTTTCGGATGGCTTCATTTGCCCCTAAACTGTATGAAAACATCTCCGAATTAGCATTTCTGGGTATGTTTCATTCAGTGTATCACTGATTCATGATACAAAACGGTATCTGCCACAGTTACTGCCTGTATTGTTGTTGAGCAGGTGACAAACGCTTCAGCCCCTAAGTGCCCTTGAGGTGTGGTTGTCAGAATTTTATGAACTGATAGAGGGAGGGATCTTACTATGTCATTATTATTTTCCTGTTTTTGCTACGCAAGAGTGGAAATACCTATTAATTCCCTTTTTCCTGGGCCACTTTTTAAAAAATAAGCATACAGGGTTGAAGGAAAAAAAATAACATGATTATTATAGAAAGAAACCCGTTCGAACTCTGTGAGATTTGTCATCAGTCTCAGCATGTCACAGGTACACTTTAGTTTTGTTGTAAAAAGATATATATATGGTCTATTTTTATGCTCTTTTCGGGCCTATTTTGTGCTTTTTTAAACCTTGTGTAGAGATCTTATTACAAAATGATTTTCTACATTAAAAGAGACTGAAAGAAATTTTGCAGTTAATGCATATGGATATTTCAGGACTCTGGGATTACTTTAATCTTGAAGTAGTGGGTGGTATAACCAAACCATCTCCTTCTTGATGGTGTCTTAGTAATCTGACTTTACAGTGGCATCTGAGAGGTAATCAGATTGTTTACACAGAAATCATAAGTTACCTCTTGCTGCTTCTCTGAGTTTTGCCATGTGGTATGACTTGGCATTTTGTTCTGTTTGGTTTTCAGACCCGTGTCCACTTTAGTGTCGAGGACAGTTGATTTCTGTAGTTATAAATGAAGCTCAGTATTTCCACCTGGATCTGACAAGACACTTTCTTAACTATAAAAATTCAAAGATAGTGTTATAAAGATACTTAGTATAGCTCCTCAGCCATAATCTGAGATGCGGGGTCAGATTTAAGCCTCAGGCATGAATAACTTTTGTAAATCACTTTTTTAATACTCTATCAGAATGGCTCATGTTTTCAGGCAGTCATGACTATTAAGTCAAGAGAAAGGTATTTCAGGGAGATATTGCCTTTCCTCCCCCATAAGTCTTTTTTTTTTTTCTCCCTCTTTCTGGCCTCAAGAGCACTCTATTGATTAATGTTCTGACTTATCAAATTCAAGTGAGTTTATTTGTGTATTGTTTATTTACAGAAAACCTTTAAATATGTGCAAGTACATTTCTAATCATAAGCAAAGTCAAGATTTGTAATTAAACAAATCATTGTAAGGTATGGTCTTTTCACACATTTATGTCTTGGCCACCTGTTATGTCACCTGTCATCTATCTCATGACTGAATAGTATTGTTTGCAAATGGTATCCAACAAAGATAATCAAAAGTTTTTAATAACCAAAGGTAGGGGAAATCATTTTACTTTTTAATAAATATTTTATGGTGTGAATACCTAGGGGAGTTGGTTTTTTAAAAAAAAAATTCCAGTGTATTTGGTAATTTTTTTCAAGCGGTCAAATAAATCCATTAATAGAACCAGTGACTAAAAATCGTAAATACTGCTTTTTAGAGCCAAGAACTTACTGCAGAAAGTTGTCAGTATCTAGGAAGTTTAGGTGTGTGTTCTTTGGGTCCATGGACATTATTTTTTACTATCGTGGTGTTATCAGGCTGATGGATTCCCTGTACTGCTTTTGAGGAAAGAGTCCTATTCACCTAAGGAAGTAAAATTTGTAACACCTTTCGCATACCCTAGCAGTTGGCAATCTGACAGTGAAGCCCCAGAAAGTAAATCACGAGGCTTTCAGCAGCTGGCCGTTCAGAGCACAGAAACAGTGAGAGGATCCATCAAGAAGGAGGAAGGCTGTGTTCCAGTAAACCTTTCTGGTAAACATAGAAATGTGAATTTCACAGAATTCTCATATGTTACAAAGTACTACTTTACCTTTCCCTTAGACCATTCCCAAAGGCGGAATGGTCTTCCACCCGAAGCTCTAGGGCTGTACAGCACCAGGAGGTAAGTGGGACCCGGCCCGTGGGCTCTGGGGCTGGTCCCCCACCTGTGCCAGCTCGGTCCCCCGGGGAAGGCACCTTTGTGATGTCCTCACAGCCTTTTCAAAACAGACGGAGTGCTTGCTTCTCTTGCTAGGAATCTTCTAATTTTTTCTTTTGCTACATTAAAAATGCCACAAAGTAAAAGTATATTTTAATAAGCAAAATGAGATTTCTCACGTTGAATGTGGTCTTTCCAAACATATATCATTAGAAACAACTGTTGAGCTTTGATGTTTTAACAAAAACCGGGAAAATCTGGCAAAATAGGAGGTCAAATACCTGGTTTAAGTATACTTTTTTTCCCATAAAATACAAAAAAGTACAATCCTATAAGGTGTAATAATTACGCAGTAGCAATTTTTTACAGTGTGTTGAAAAAAAAACAGCATTTTCATATGAAAAGTAATTTGCTGTTGTGCATTTTATGTTCTAAAACTTTACACTCTCCAAACAGCCCCTCATTTAAACACAGTTATTACAGTCTTCTTATCACCGGCATAGTTCTGGAAGTCCTCTTTGGTGAGGGTCTTTAACTGTGCTGTTATGGCTACAACCATGGCTCAGATTGTTTCGAGATGGGTACCTTTCGTGGTCATTTTGCCTTTGGGGAAGAGCCAGGGGCTGTGCAGTCCCAGATCTGATGAATGAAACCCACGAGGATGCACCGTGATGTGTTTGTACCATCAGACAGTGCTTGGCAGGAGGGAGGATCGCTCCATTTTTGATGATGCCTCATAAAGAGACAAACAGGATTTTTCAAACTGGTTCAGAAAGTGGCAAGAATGACAAGATCCTGGTGTCTGAACTGTGAGGGAATGTTCTGAGGAGGGTTCACGTGTCTTCTACGATAACACATTTTTAGAAATTTAACATTCATTATATATTTTGACCCTACTTTACATATTACTGGATAAGTTTAATTGATTTTATTTTTGGACTGACAATCATTTTATTAAGTTTTCTAAGTCATTACAACCTACACATCATGTCTAGCTCATCCAGCTCAAGACATCACTCAGATAGACAGGAAAAATCCAGTAGGAAGCCCCCTGGGAGGTAAGAGCTCTGCTTGCAGATTCTCGATGTCTGGCTCTGAACCTCATGCACATGGAATCGCACCGTGTGGACTCTCGTGTCTGGCTCTCACTGCTTATTACGGCTATTGTTGGATGGAGCGGAAGTTTGTTCTTTCCACTGATGTGCACCATTCCACTGTCAAGTATATATTAGTTACCGGCTGTGCTGGCCATAGGCGTTTGGGTTATTTTCAGTTTTGTGCTATCAGATTTTTTTTAAACCTAGATTTTATTATAGTCACGTTAATGCCCAGACAGAAATTCAGCACTGCACCAGAACTGGGCTTACCAGCACTGCCCGGGCAGCTGCCCAGTGGGAACTGGCCGGTATCTTTTCCATGGTCCCTGTCAGAAGGATGCTCTTCGGAGACAAATCCCGGGATTCAGAGACTGTGAGTGTCAGATTCAACTCTCTCTTCATCTGTGGCAACTGTGTGACCACTCCGGAGACCTCTCTGAGCTTTATTTGGTTCAGTGGGGCCCACGGTCGGCCCTCTGTGTGGGCAGGCAGCTGTGCGACTCCACTGAGGACCAACTCCACAGTGTCTGCCGGCACAGTTTTCTCCTACTGTGGCTTTGGGTATGTACTGTTGTCCAGGCGCTCTGGTTTTAGCTAAGCAATGGGGTCTTTGGCTGAGTCTGGACCCACCTTTAAAATTTCGCCTAAAGCCAGGCAGGGTGACACATGCTTGTAATCCCAGCACCCTGGGGGTCCGAGGCAGGAGGATTACGTGAGTTTGAGTCTAGCCTGGACAACAGGTAAAAGGTTGTTCCCTGCCACGCTGTATGGCTGTGTCACAGGCCCAAAAGACAGACTGAACCCTCTGAAGCTGTCAACAAAATAGATATTTCTGCTTTATATTCATTTATAGTGACAGAAAGCTGACTTAGGGTTGGTTTCACGTTACCTGGAAATCCTTGAAAACCAGGGTACTGGAAGGAGCAGCAGCACAGACAGGGACCAGTCTGCCTCTGCTTCTTGACACTGTTCCTCTCTATCTCTCGTTCCCGTAGCACTAGCTCACACCCTGTCCCATACCTATTTCTGTGCCTGTCTTCCAGACAGCACACCCTTGTGTCTACACGCCTCCTTGGCCTCTGGTACCTGCTGTGCACAGTATACTCACTGCTAATATTGGTGGGAAGGGAAAATATTGGGTAATTAGAATATTAAGAACGTCAAACAAAATGTTCCCCAAGCTAAAGCTCTATGTCACTTATGCAAACCCAGCATCCAGTATCAGTAGGCATTGCACAGGCTGGAACACAGGCCTTTCTTTGATTACCAAAGTTTCCAGGCTGTATGCTGGCCACTCCCTCCATTCAAGGCCATTTGGAAAGCAGTGGGGCCAAACTCGGAGGGCCGGGGCAGCAGATAGGTTAGGTCAGCAGAAGAACTTTTGTTTTTTGCAGTACTGGGATCACTGAGGGTCTTGTGCATGACAGGTGGAATCATGACAGATTCCACCTGAGCTATGCCACCTCCCCAGAAGAAGATATTTTAATTACACAGAGTTTAATGTATCCACTATAACTGCTGGGAAAATAGAGGAAAAGTCAGAAAGCCTTCGTCTACAATTATTTTAGAATTTCAAATTAGGACGTTAGTTTCTTAGAGTGTGTGCTAGAGAAGTATCAGCAGTACAATACTTTGTAAATAGATCTAATAACTATAAAATAGAAACTTCTTGGACAGAATATTCCTGCTCAAGGCTCAGGCCAACTGATAGCTCTGAGCACATCCTGTGCACCCTGCCTTTAAACATCTGTCACCTGATGCCAGGCGTGGTGGCCGATGTCCGTAGTCTCAGCACTCAGGGAGGCTAAGGCAGGAAGCTGCCACGTTTGAGTCCAGTCTGGGCAACTTAGGGCTAACCTGTCTTAAAAAATAAAATGATACAAAGGCACTGCGGGTGTAATTTAATTTCAAAGGCGTGTGTCCAACCCTCAGCACCACCAAACAAGGCACAACATAAACCAACAAAAATAAGCAAAAACTCATCACTCAGGACTCTCGAGTCTAGGACCATGAACTGTGTCTGGAGACAGGGCACTGAGACCAATGTTGAGGAATATTAAAAAGTTTTTGGACATGCAGCCTCCTTTTAATACATGAAAGCTTAATGTCTGTGAGCTGCACTCGATGTGATTTTGTTTTTGGTATTGGATACTGAAACCGGGGTCTTCACATTGACCTGCATCCCCAGCACTTTTTAAAATTTAATTTTGAGACAAAGTCTTCCTAATTTCCTGGGCTGCCCAGGGTGGGCTCAAAGTTGCCACTCTCCTGCCTCAGCCCTCCAGAGTATTAAGATTATGCACTGTCATCCATAGATTGGGCTACATGTATTTGATGCTCATAGCTTTGGTAGGTGCATGGAACTGACTCCTCTCGTAACATAGGTTGAATATCCGTTATCTGAAAGGCTTGGGATATGAAGTGTGTCAGATTTCAGATCTTTTTGGATTTTGGGGTCTTTGTACAGATTGAGTTATTTTGATCATGGGACCCAACACCAAATGTATTTATACCTATTCCTAAGGACAGTTTTATATGGTATTTTACAAACTTTGTTCATGACATATAGTTTCACAGTGTGGAATTTTCCACTTAGGCATCATGTTGGCACTGAAGAGGTTTTGGATTTTGGAGCACTTTAGAATTTTAGAATAGGGATGCCCAGCCTGCATTTATAGAGATCGGACAGAGACCCATTTCTTTCTTTAGTAAGTTGAGGCTGGGCATAGCTCAGTTGTAGAGTACTTACCAACTCTGTGCAAAGACCTGGGTTCAACACCCAGCACTGAAGAAAGAGGATAAAATAGCAGCGTGCTTTCATGCTAGGTGAAGGCATCGGTACTGCCCCATCTAGGTGTTCACAGATGCTGAGATGAGCCAGGAGGGGAAGTGAGTGAGGGAAGGAGGTCCTCACACAATTCTTCCCTTTGACTAGGGAAATCCAGACTCAGGGTGGCCTCATGCAGCTCTGTTCACAGACAATGCTGGCCCAGGAGCACACAGCTCAGGTTCATTTGCAAATCAAACTCCCGCAACACAACGCACACACAGACACAGACACAGACACAGACACACACACACACACACACACACACACACACACACACACACACACATCAGTGCCCCATGCCACCAGGCCCATAGCTTTGGAGCTCCATGGAGTCTGCACCTGCTGACAAAATCCTGCATAATACTTCCAAGACCCTATGGCACTAACAGCTTATTTGTGGAAAAGAAAATTCCAAAATAAAACACAGTCCAATGACTTACCTTAGCAAAAGATTTATTTGAAATGGGTTTGTGCAGACATACTCCGGTTGACAGGATTGATCAAAGCTACAAACCACTAAATTTTCCAAATGCCTTTACACACACAAGGAGATGCCCTACATTTGTATTCCCTCCAGGAGGGAACTCAGCTCACACAACCAGAGGACATTAATGGACTGGGAAAATGGTTACACTTCTAGAGGGAGGGAACGGAAACCCCACCAGCCTCGGAAGCACTCACTGCTCTGCTGGGAGCCAATTAAGCAAGGCCCTGCAGCCTGCTCCCCGCCCCCCCCCCCCCCCCCCCGCATACCCAGAGAAATGTCCCCATTGCAGTGTTTAAGCAACCCCAGCACAGATGTGACAGGCGACAGGAGAGCACTCTGCTCTGCTTGCATGAGACACATACGACAAAGACACCATGTTGGAGCACAGTGCTGCAGTGACGTGGGGCATTCGAGGAGATGGGCTCACCCTGCGGCTGGCAGCACTGCTGCGGCTGCCTGCATTGCCCTAGGGAGTGAGGCCCACGTGGAAGTGGCCTGGACAGCTGTGGATACGGCCGTCCCTGGTAACACAGGAGAAGGAGCAGGAAAGGAGAGAGCAGTTTTCAGCCTCGCATTTGTGTTTTAGTGAAAAACCAAGTGAGTTTTTATGAGCATGCATGTGTGCGGGTTTGTGTGCATGTGTGCATGTGTATAAGTGCATGTGCATATGTGTGCGTGTGCTGGGGACTAAACCCAGGGCTTTTCACATTTAAGGCAAGAGGCTCCCTCCCCACCACCTGGAGGACCTTTAAAAACATAACACATAACACTTGTACATGTTGATAAGGTATGGTGCACGGATCTTGTCGGAAGGAGACTCTTATAGCTGGGCAGGTTTCCTTTTTCTGTTCTTGGTTGTTTATTGATTTACCTGTAACCCTGGACCCAGCTATTTCTAGGAACACCACCGGGCCCACTTGGCCAGTGTGTACACAGCCTGCTCTTTCGTCTTCTGCCTTCCGGGTTTTCCTTCCGCCTCCGATAGAGTCTTGATAAGCTCTCCTGACCCCTGCGTTTCCTGGGCAGGGTTGTTTGGATAGTGCTATTATTTCAACTTTCTTCTTCCCATTTGTCATAAATCAAGCTACCTGACACTTTGTTCCTGATTTTTAAAACAAACAGGTCTCTTTTCTTTCTTTAGCCAGGTCAGAAGAAAGGCCGGTGGGCTAATCTTTTGAGCCTGTTTTTCTTGGTCCGATGCCTGGGAGAAAGAGGCGAGTAGGTGCGGTATCTGGAGGCTGCTAGGGAGAGAGACTGTCGCTGGAGAATGAGCCAGCCTGGGTGTAAAAAGAATCAGCCTTTTGTCTCCCCGCCCTTGGCGGAGGGAGGTGTTTGTCCTGGGTTAACCACGGTGGATCCTAGCTGGGATGGGGTAAGGGGTGAGCATGCCCCTCGCCTCTCTCTTCTGACCACTTAGATTTATGTTGATTTCATACTGTTTTTGTTTTTTCCTCCAGAAGTCACTGGTACCTAACAGAGTGGGGTAGTGGGCATGGAGAGGTAGACTACTGGACAGTTCGGGATGCTGAGAAAACATGACTAAACAGTGGATACACATCAAGCCGAGTACACCCAGTCCATTCATTCCGAGAATATTACACGGTGTCAACACGGGGACTGGAACCTCACTTCTATGGCCCACTGGAAACTTCTGTCTTCCCCACCATTCCAAGTGGAAAAATTGCTCTTACGAGTTAATAATGTCCCCCTGAGACACATAACTGCCTGGAGCCAATGAAGAACTACCAACCAAACTGACTGATGTGTTTGTTTGAGAGCAGAGGGCTTTAAATATCTCCTTCATTCTTACATTTGCTAACTTAAGCATTTATGTGAAGAAAATAATCAGTATGACATGGAATGCCATGTTTTGATTTGTCTGATAAATTCATTTCTTTGCCAAGTTATTATTTTAGACTCTGTTTAGCCAAATTCTTTGTGCATATTTTAATGGATCCCAGGAGATGAAGGCTACATTTCAAACACTGAAGCTAAATCACTCCTTGAATTACTTTGGGACAATGACTCAGGGCAGTAATTCAAACCCTGACTGAGATGTGTGTAGCCTTTTCACATGTTCATGGCTAAAGATGACCTTATCCTACAGCAGAGTTTTGCAAACATTACGTTCAGTCTATGCTGGAAGACGCACATCTGAGCAACAGGAGTCTCTGGTAGAAAATTCTCTTGCTTCTGGTTTAAGAAGTGGGAAGGTCATTGCTATAACAAATCGAGATTATAGGCTGTAACTTTCATTTTAGAAATATTCAAACTAGAAGCCTGTCATCTGTACAGCTTTCTCCATTCACTTCTCACTATTCGCTGCTTCTTGACAAGTTATTGTGATTTTCGCTGCCAGCTCACTGTAGCATACCTGAAACCTGCTCAGGGAAGGGAAAATGTCAACAGAGTCCTCAGCCAAGCTTTGCTGAATCCTAGTTTCGCTTTTTAAGATACTTGTCTACAAATGTTAAAGAAACACCATCCCCTTTCTCCAAAGCACACACTTGTGTGGTATACTGACTCGAGCAAGTCCTCTTTGTGGGTTTTTGTGTGTACATGTGTGTTAGGAGATGGAAGAAAGTGATACTGGTCGGGAAGTCTGGAGTATTCTGCACTGAGACAGGACAGACACATCAGCCGTGCTCCCCAAGTTATTACAAAGCTGCTCTGAGCAGCAGCTCGTGTTTATTTGGACTTCCCGGCAGAAACAGGTGGCTTTTCCTGGTCCCTTCTACCGCCGCCCATGGGGATGGTGCCCATGTGGCAGCACCCAGAACCAAGCTCTAAGAATGGCTTGTCTTGTCTGTTTGCAGTTGGCCCAAACAGGACAGCCTCCCACAGGGGCAGCCGTCTGCATGCAGCTCTGGCTGAAGGGTCTGGCTGGGTGGGTCCGTCAGCTCAGCCCAGCCCACCAGCAGGCCCTGGAAATGCTGACTGAGGTTGACCTGCTGGCTGGACAGTCACTTACTGTGTGGGAGTGTGACAACTCCCACGTGACAAGTCCACTGAGTTGACAGCTAGATATGCAACCCAGGCCAGGTTACTCGGCTCCTTGGGGAGGGGCTGTGTGGGACACCCTGACCTCAATTTAAAGATAGGACAAATGACATGGGCCAGCAGGGCTAAATATTATACATCACACATCATGACAGCTGCCTCGCCTGGATGCCCAGTTTAGTCATCCATCTATAGGAAGGTTAATCACATGAGAGAATAAATAGAAAGGTATCTCTTCTAGAAATTTTTTTTGTGTGTACAAATTTCATTATTGCAAACATTGTGTAGTCTGCTTCTCAAAGAAGAGAAAAATGTACTTCAATTCCTGAAAATGCAAACCGTTAGCCTAGAATATAAAATAAAAAGAAAAACAAAACCCTAAACACAAACACATTTCCTTCAGAAATCTGCTTTGAAAAGCTTCAAGTCTAAGAAAGGGCCACGTGTTGGACAAAGACTTGAGTTTTCATTCAATCTTTTCAAATCAGTTTCAAACCAGGTAAAAGAGACCAAACCATCAAGCTGCCTACACTTTCAATCCTAATTTTCCTTTCTCCTGTTTGTGGTCTTTACCTGTCTGCATGTGCAGTAAAGAATGACACCTCGGTTTGCTGTTAATCTCCTGGCCTCATGCCTATCTGGTGGTCTTTAGGGATTCAGACTGCTGGGTGCTCTGTAAGAATCAATTTTCTTAAGTCAGTGCAAATTGTACTTTAGGTTGTTTCAACACCCAACAAGTTATAGATGTTCCAAAAATAAAGTGTTAGGGGGCAGAGTGCACCATTGTTTTATTCCCAAGTTATCACACCATGCCTCAAGGAACCATGCCATTCTACCCAGGAACAGCTGCCCACTTGTGGTTAAATCCTCACACGATCTGGCTGCGCTACCAGCGGAGAGAGGACACGTCCCTGGGGGGTCGGTTACTCAGGGCTCTGGGTCCTCTGTGCCTGCCTGCAGGGTCCATCCCAGCTCAGAATGCAGGGTGCAGTGGGAGCGGTCAGGGACTTGTTCCCCCTTTCGTAGCCTCAGAACTCAGCATAGGCCTGTGCGTGAAGCTGGTGAGGCAAAGAAAGGACAGGACAGAAGTATTTTTAGAACGGGCATTTTCTTGGGTTGTTTAGAATTCTTTGCACTGTAAGCGTGTGGCAAGGTCTTGTTTCAGTGCTTGTCTTAGGAGGCTGACAGTGGCAATTATCTGGGCTTCTGCACGAGAGTTTCTGTGGAGATGTGGCAGAAATGTCCTCGAGGCTGCGTCCAACCCTGGACGTCTTCTACTGCCTCCTAGGACACGTGTGGTCATCTTCCTCCTGTCCCAGCCCTCTGCTCGTCATCTGGGTTTGCTCCTCCTGATTCTCGAGCTACAGTGGCAGGTCTCTCCCATCCCTGGACAGGCACGTTACAGCCAAATGCTGCCCACCAGTGAAGTCTACAATGTGCTGAGGTCCCTAGGAGACAAGCAAGGGTTCTGAGCTGGCTGCGAAGGCCCCGGGATCGGGGTTGGGAAATTAATACTCACAGCCAGAGTAGGGCAGGGGGTTCCACCCCCGACCCCCTGGCCCTCGGGACTCCCGTGTCAGAAGAGGCAGGTGAATGTGTCGGATACGTATAGGACAGCATTGCGTCTCTTCTTTAGTTACAGATTTGAGTGGGTGGTGGAGGAAGGCGGGCGTTTCTGGCATCCGTAGCTGAATCTGCAGTGGGACAAGGGAAAATGCAGTCCAGGGTGGGCTTTGCACCAGCTGTCAGGCACAGCCCAGCAGCCAGCCACGCGGAAAGTCTGAGGACAAGGGGCGCACGGACCATGGCGGCAGGACCAGGCGCAGCTGGCACCTGGGAAGGTGTAGGAGAATCCATGGGCACCAGCTGGGCAGGCGGCTCGGAAGTCCAAGGAAACGTTCTCAGCTTTGCCGCCAGCAAAGCAAGTTTTTGAGATTTCATTGCAACCAAGGAGTTTATGCCACTTCATACAAAAAAACAAACAAACAAAACAACAACAACAACAAAAAAACCAGGAATGCAAGCAAGTGAGCAACCTGTCTAAGGAGAAGTTTCTTGCTGCCCCTTGGGCCCAGCTGGGGAGTTAAGGAACAGGAAGGAGCGTGCCTCAGTGCAGTTACACTGGACAGGTTCCTCGTGCAACATAAAGCACCTTTCTCTTTCTCCCAGAACAACTAGCGCTGATGTTTAACCGTTGGTGAAGCAGTGCTTTGAACTTCATACCTCGCAGAGCACAGCTGAATGCTTCCTAACAGCGGAAACAAAAGTGTCGGCAAGCACTGCAGACAAAGAGGAAAACATGGCTTTCCTATGGTCCGGGCTCCGGGCTTGCAAAGGAATATGTAACTAACAAACTGGTCGGCTAAGGCCACAGAAATGTGTTTGTGAGTTGTTTTGGCGCGGACACCAGTCTCTTCTGACAAAGAAGGGTTAACAGTAGATACAACAAACAGAATCTCTGTCCTGAAACCGCAAAGTCCGGAGAAGTGGCAGCTTATTTCTTCTTGGACTTCTTTCTGGTGGTGTCATAAGCTCGAACTAGTTCTTCCTGACTAACAGCTCCATGTTCTTCTTGGGAGAAGGCATAGCCATCTGCAAGAGACACGGGGAAGCTGAGTGGGGAGAGGGTCGGAAGCTAAGCCCTGGGGAGGATGACCACAGCTGTCCCGGCCCCTGGGGCCGGGCAGCTCTTGTCTCTATTCTGCTGCCATCACGAGATGCTACAGACTGAGAAGGTGATGACAGTAAAATGTGTTTGGCTTGTAGTGCTGGAGGCTGCACAACCCTAACGGCAGCGCCCTCCTGAGGCCCCCATGCCCCTGGTCACCTCTTCACGCCCCGTCCTTTCACACTGTCACAAAGGCAGGGGCACTGCAATGTGAGTTCTGGAAGGGACGTTCCAATCCTCTTGGGGTTGGGGTGTTATTTCTGGGAGGCTGCAGCAGAGCCCTGTGGGCAGCCCTGAGGGAAGGTCAGCGGTCCCTGTTGGCCAGGCAAGAGGAAGTGATGCCCCGCCGGCCCGCCACTGCTGCTGACTTACATAGCCAAAAACGCACCAGAAAACACACATGGTGCTATGCGTGAAAGCTGGCAAAGCTGCTGTTTTTCAAACTGGACTATTGGACTGGTAATAAGTGGGCTTCTTTCCATGTAAATAATGAGAAGAGTTTAATAACTGGTCCTGTGGTCACAGGAAGCCTGGTTCTTACAATCAGTTCTCAGGGTTATAATAAAGCAAACCACCACCACCCCTTTTTAGTAGTGCGTGTGCAAGGCACCATGGTACATTTTGTTTATGGGTGGCTCATCCAGTCCTCCTGGGACCCTCTGAGCCATGTGATGCATATAGGGAAACTGAAGCATTGACACTGTATTTCTGTGACTTGTCCAAGGTCACAGAGTGAGGCTGGGTGAGTGGCAGATTGGGAAGCAAACCCAGGAAGTGTGACAGTTGACCGACACCTTACTGCACTGCCAGTTCCGAAATAGATCATGTATTCATATAAACTCAACTCGGGCCTTTGCTTCTAACTGTTCTTTCTCACGTAGAGAACACAGGCCATATTCACTCTCCATGGGCTGACCCCTCTCCTGGCTTCCAGGCCTCAGAAGAGGAGGCCTCCCAGCCAATGCCTGAGAAAGCCCAAGCTCAGAGGGGCCACACTGGGATCAGGGATTGCAGAGGTGACCTGGGGTCCACTGAAGACACAGAGGCTGAACAACTGTCCCTCAATGAAGGCAGAACTAGCCAAATGGGACAAAGAAGGGATCTTCACGGAATTTTTGTTGACCGGCTCACCTAGACTTCAACAAAACACAACCCACAAGCCCAGTTGTCCCAACATGGGGCAGCAGCTTCCAGACTGGGGTGAACCCTCACACAGCCCGCAGGAGAGCAGGCTGGAGCTGCAGCCAGCCCAAAAGGAGAGGCACAAAGCCCAGGCATGCACCCTTCTTCAGGGTGCTGCCTGTGCAGGTGGCCATGCTCTGACTCCCCCAGCTGCGCAGTCCCCTTAGGGTCTGCTCCTGAGCCCTGAAGAGCCTGCGTGGACTCTCACCTCTGCTCCTAGGACAGCTTTCGGATTTCTGCTGCACTGCCCCAGAGCTGAGCAGGGATAATAAACCATGTCTGTGGCTGCTGGCTGGGAGGAGCCGCCCCAGCTTCCTGCCTCTCTCCGAAGCTCCCCTCCCAAGCCCCACACAAGGTGCCCTTTGTGGTGCCTTCTCATTGCCGTCCAAGAGGATCTGCCGTCCTGGGATCTTCAAAGCAGATGCAGGCAAATAACACCACGTCTTCCCATAACAAGGCTGTGTGCTAGGGTCAACTTGGACAGTTTCATGCTCTGGTCTTTTACAAAAGGATGTTTCAGTAAATAGCCGCTGTGACTCTGGTGGGGCCACAGCACAGCTGTCCTGGGATGGGATGGGTGTGGGATGACGGTCCTGCCTCCCCCCACACTACAGCCGCTGCACAGGGCGAGCTCCTCAGTCCAACTGGAGTTAGTCTGACCAGGATGGGTCTCTCCAGGCGGTTCTAAGTGTTCTTTATAAACAGGTCTGCGGCAGGTAGGGGGCTCCTGGGCTCTGACCCTCAGGCAGCTTCCTCCACGCACTCTGTTTCCATCTTGGACCCAGGAGCCCAAGTAGCTGAATTCCTGGGGCAAGAAAGGGAGCTTTCAGCCTCAGCTACGTGGCTGTGTGACCCCAGGCTCCTTGAGTTCCCTGGATCTTGGTCTTGTTTATACTCTGTACCACTGGAGGAGAAGAGCCCATCTCAAGAGTGAAGCCATTAGAGTAATTGCTACCCATCTTCTTTTGGTCAGTTTTGGGGGAGGCATTGGATAGAGAATGAAGGAGACTTATTGGGACATTAAAAATAAGCATTTTAAACTGGGGGTGGTGGCGCATGCCTCGTGGGCTGGTGGGGGCTGACTCAGCCGTAATGGGGCAGGAAGAGTTCCACTATCAAGACGAGTGCTTCCCTCCAGTTTTTCAGGGAAGCTGAGGCCTAAAACAGCAGATGGACAGATGTAGGAAGACGTTCGATGGTTGGCAGGAAGCTAGGCTTCCCTGCAGACAGGCAGGCAGAGAGGAGTCCCGTCCTGCTACCGAGCCTGCTCTACCTGCTGGGCCTCAGCCCACAGCCTGGCAAGGACGCAGGCTCTGCTCCGTCAGATTCTGCCTGGTAGACACGCAGCTGCCATCTGCATTCAACAGGAGCTCAGAGGGAGCCCCAGCATCTGCACTGGCTGCTTCCGTCATCTTTCGGGAAGTCTTCATAGCCAGAAAGCCCTAATGGGGGCCTGGAGAGGTGAACTTTCCCTGGCTGGCTTCCTAAACATGTGGCCACAGCCAGAATCTGGGAGAGAACTGGAGAAGCACAAGGACATGGGAGAGTAAGTGAACTTCTAAGCTATTTTGTTTTATCTAAATATAACATTTGGTGAGATTCATAAAATATCTGTTTTTTCAGCATTCTGGGGTAAAATTTTCTACACGTGACATATTTTGAATCTAAGGTCTGATAGCCCCTTAACAGAAGTAGCATTTTCCTGTTTAGACAAAGATTGCCGATATTCACAGAAATGCAGAAGACCATGTAAATAATGAGGAAATTTGACAATGGAAGAAGTATAGATCTTAGTTATAAATATTGTACAATACTGGCTCATAGGAACTGCATGAATTTTCTTCATGTTGCTATGATGAAATACCCAAGGCTGTGTATTTTATATAAAACCGAAGGTTCACGGTTCTGTCGGTGCAAGGTATCACATCTAGTAGTGGCATTCTTGCTGGCACCAGGCATATATGGTGAGAGACAGGGAACTTTCCATCTTCTTATAAAGCCCCAGGATTGTATCATAGGGGCTTCACCCTGGTCATGTCCTGAAATCCTTATCACCTTCCAGATGCCAGCTGAGGCTGACAGCAGCCGACGGGCAGATGCAGGGAGACACACAGTGGTTGAAGGAGCTCTGCAGACCCTCTTGCACCTTGCAGTTCAGACCACACGACAGTCTTGTTGAGTTGTTAATGACAGAATTGTCCTAAATTATCATGTTATTAAATACTGAGTGTTTAAAAAATGTGGTACAATTCAGAAGCTATACTTTTTCTTATATGAATTCAATGGAATTTTTTTCTCATTTTTTTGTCTTCAAAATGTAACTTAAGAAAAACAATAGTTACTTGAAGCCATTTATAACTGCCTGCAGAATCTCTCACTGGGTCTTTGATGTCATTGTATACATTGCCCATATTTTTTTCGTGGTTACCCTGAGACTTTATTCATGAAGAGCATGGGTCTGCAGCATGAAGCTGCAGTTCAGAGGACCTGGCATGCAGAAGGTGCTTTCCACACATCACCAGGAAGACGCATAAGGACACGGATTACTATAATTCTATTTTCTTTCTTAGGAGAGAAAATAGAAATTTAAAGAAACATGTAACCACTCAAAGTTGCTCAGCTTGTGCCCAGTGATAATGATGATGTTAATAATAATGATAATAATAACATTAACAAATGCCTGATGTTTACTGGGTTCTTCCTACCATCTAGCAGAGTTTGAGGTCCTTTGTTTACATGATCTCCTTTAATCTCCCCTGTAACTCTAGCTAGGTTCGCTTATTATTCCTATTTTACAGATGCAGAAACAGAGATTAAATAACTAGCCCACAGTCACAAAAAGTGGCAGAGCAGTGACCAGAACTAGACAAGCAGCCTGACTCCAGACAGGGTACCCTGCAGACTGAGTCCTTGGAGGTCCCCACAAAACCTCCTAGCTTGACCAGACCCCACAGGGCACTGGGCATCACTGAGTCCATCACCCTCCTGTTCTGGCTCTCTGCTCTGTGTTTTCAGGACTGGTGCCACCTGCCTCCTGGGATGCTGGGGCATTCAAGGACAGGTGGCGTAGCCCATGTGGAGACTTCACAAGGGGAGTGAGCAGAGGGTGTGGGGTAGAGGGTGGCGATGACAGGCAACACCCTGCCTCCTCTTTTCCGTTGACAGGTGGAGCTCAACTGTTCTCCATGCAGATCCATCAATGCCTGTGCAATGTGTGTGCAGATTCTCGATGTTCACTAAGTGCTCTGCTCTGCCAGGCACCTCCTCCTACACCCCCGAGGAGGGGGAGGAGGACAGGAGGAGCTGCTCTGTGGCACCCAGGAGAGGAAGGGCTGGGCTGCAGGGTGTAGGGCTTTGGGGATGGTGGCCAGGAGTCCATTGGCGGGAAGCTGAATGCTGGATTGTGAGGAAAACCCTCACAGCTCCCTGTGCGCTCTAAAGAGGGGGATCTCACTTTCTGTGTGGGGGTGATGGGGAGATGGTAACCCTCAGTGGAGGGTTTAAATAAAGCAACTCATCTGCTATCTCCGGGGGCCAGAATTTAAGAGTTCTATCACTTCAATCTTTAAAAACGTCCTCTCAAGGAGGATGTAACTGTATTGGGATTTTATCATTCAGGTGTTTGACTGGGTCCAGTAGAAACTGCCCACATGCAAGCCATACCCCCTGGGGGGAATACGTAACTCTCACTCCCAAGGGGATCATCAGTACCACCTGTGCTCTTGCAGCTAGGCACCCCTCTGCACAGGTCTGGGGGTCCTGCCTGCAGGGCAGAGCTACTCACGGGAGACACACTGCTGGACGGAGCTACCGCGGAAGAGCGTTGGGGGAGTCTTCTTGCCCAGCCTCTTGAGCAGGCGGTCTCGCTCATTTACCCTGCGGGAAAGCAAACAGGGTCAGGCTCCGGGTCACCCCAGCACATCTCCCAGAGTCTGGTGGATGATTTCAGGTTTTAAGATCAAACAGACAGGGCAGGGTGGGCTCCCCTCGTCCAGCAAAAGGTCTGGTTTCCCAGGCAGCCTTATGTTTACAGAAGATGCTATCTCCCAAGCTGAGAGCATAGCTCTTTCCAAAGCTGCCCTGTGTTCAGGGGCACCACAGGTACCTTTTCCATTGCCATAGTTGGTAGAATCAGCGGGGCTCACCCCAGGCTGCAGCCCCTTCCCCAGCCAGTGTACCCCCTGGAAGAGCACTGCTCCCAGGGCTGCAGGGCCCCAGAGGAGCTACTGTGGCTGCACAACCCAATGCTTGCTTTGATCGCTAATGAAAATCTAGGAGTTTTCTTCTAAAACCCAAGGAATAGGAGCTCTAGCTGCCTTTCCTGAGCATTCCCTCCACGGCTGCTTTGAAGAAATACAGAGCTATCCCAGAGGGTGGCTGGTGTTTACAGCAGTTCCTCCAGCCCCCAGGCTCCATCCTTACCCCTGTTCCTTGCTCCTACAGCCTGGGTTTTGTTTAACCATTTCCCAGAATCAAATGCAGTGGGAAAGAATTAAATAGAAAATTCCTGACATGGACAATTCATAGGTTTCAAGTGGGTATCATTCTGAAAACATCATCCAGCTCACTTCCTCCTCATTGTGCAGGGCTTGTACCAAAGAAGGGTGACTGCGGTACAGTAAGACTGGCACAGACCACTTTGTGTCACTTTTATCACAGTATGCTTCTCTAATTACTCTACTTAGCAACAGCGATTGCTGTCAGTCTCTTACTGGGCCTGTAGCAATTACACTTTATCACAGACATGTTTGTGTGACAGATAAAGAGCAGGCACAGCAAGGGTATGGTACCATCCACAGCTTCGTGTATCATGTGGCATCTCTGAACATCCTTTGTGGATGAGGGGAGAGACCTCTGATTTTTCATCTCAGGATGCTATTTGCTTGGCCCCCCCCCCACAAGAGGCTTCTGGTACACGCGAGTTTGCTGATGCCTTCTATTATGGGTTGTATTGTGTCCCTCAAAAATTCACATTGAGGGGATGAGGGTGTAGCTCAACATTTGTGAGGTCCTGCGTACGTGTGCTTGGGTGTACACACACATGCAGACACACACACAGCCACTCCATGCTGTTGTCCCAATATCCGGTACTTCAGAATGGGACTCTATTTGGGGACAGGGCTTTAAAGAAGGGATTCAGGTAAAATGGGGTCTCACAGGTGAGCCCTGATCTACTCAGACTGGGGTCCTCAGAAGAAAAAGAAACTGGAGTCCTTGCAGGAAAAGAAGAGTAGGATGGAGCTGCACGCAGCCACTTGAGCACACGGGGAGAAGACGCTCATCTACACCTCAGGGAAACACCCTGCACACGTCCACGCTCTGAGAATAAGAAGCCCCTCTGTTATGGTAGCTGGAGCACCCGGCAGGCTCTCATGCCCCCAGATTCCTTCACAGACAGGGAGGGTACCCCTCAGGCCTGGGTTTGAGGAGGCCCTTCCCTGGCCACAGCCCCTTCATATCTCCCCCAAGGCCTTTAGGAGAGGAGGAGTCCTGGGGTCCCGAGCTGACATCTGTCATGGATGGGAACATCTGAAGATGGCGTTTGTTGACTGTCTCGGCTGAAATGTCCTTGACTGTCAGCAGCTCCCAGCTGGGTTTAGGAAGTGGCTGGTGTGACAGAGGACCTGTCCTTGCACCTCACTCACCAGACATGAGTCCTGTACAGAGGGTACTGACAGGCTCTGCTGAAGCCACCATTTGGAGTTGTGCAGCCTTGCCAGCTAGGATATGTGTGGGTATAAAGGACGTCTGATGTCCTCTCTCTAGGACCTGGGGTGACCCGAGGCAAGATCACACCCTCCTCCATCCTTGCCACCCCAGAAGTTCTTCCTGCTGATGGGGCTTACAGGTGTCACCAAACCACAGCAGTGGGAGGGATCTCTAAATCATACCTCTCAGTCTCTCATGGGCAGGTGAACAAAAAGCCTGGGCCGCACTGGTAACCTGACTCAGGGTGCACTGGGCTTTGCTGGGGGACCGCTGGTGCCGGCTCCTGTTGCCTAATTCCCTTATGGAATGGTATTTGCTTCTTCCCTTTCTCTGTTTTTAGTGATGTACTACTTAAAAGTCTGTCTTCACTTCTGAGGGACCTACTCTGAGCCAGGGCCCTTTACATCCTTGTGGGGTGGGGACTGGAAGGCCAAGGAGATGTGTTTGCCGCACACGTCAGGTGTCGGGGACCTTACCAGCACCTGCTCAATCACCCCTAAATGTGCATGCAAGGCTCCCCTGACTTCCTCCTAAGCTCTGTTCCCTAGAAGTAGACCATACAGCCAGTGTGCATGCCCCAGGCCTTCAGCGTGGCCAAGGGGTGCTTTTTGCACAGGACTATGGCAGAGTTGGACGTGGGCTTGTGAGGCTGGGAAGGTGCTCTGGCTTTGACCTTCCAAGTGCCTGGGAAGCAAAGCGCTCCAGTTCTCACCAAGGGCTCATCGGCAGGGCACAGAGCTATGTATTATTTATTGGCCTGGTAAGTGATTTTCACGTACTCAGATGTGACGCACAGCCTCTACTTAGACTCTTACGCCAAGGCCTGCAAATGTTGGAGGGGGCCTGCTTGTGTTAACGGCTTCACTTCATCTGCTTTGGTTTGTGTTTTGGGGGGAGGACTGGGTCTACAGTCTACCACCCAGTTAGTTACATCTCAGGTTCCTTACTTTAGATTTTAACAAAACCATAATTGCTCAAATACAAAGCATCCTTATACTCCTCCCTGGATTCATTCTTTTCCCCTCTATAAACAAAGTTAGAAATAACCTTTCTGTTCATATTTTATGCTTTTGCTCTGCACACCCAAGTTTATATATATTCACAATTAGTACACAATTGGGTTTTAAAATACAGATATGTGATATCATTTATTTTATACTTGCTATTTATCATGCTTTGTCTTTGTTCAGGCTGGCCCGAGCAATTTAGCAAGCCCCTGCCTCAAATTAAAAAATAAAAATGGGAAGAGGCAGGTATAGTCCCACACTCTGGGGATTTGATGCCCAGCATAAAAAAAAGACTTCCGAATACTCAATTCTGATTTTCCCTGGGTCTTGTATTTACCACTAAAGCTTCCTTAATTTGACTGCCACTCTGCTCAGGTAATCTGTTTTTCCTCCTGGTTGCTTTTACAACAACTCTGCTTACCTTCGATGTCCTACAGTTTCATATAACATAGCGTGGCAAAGGGTAGATGTGCTTTTATACCCTGCTAAACTGTGCAGGCCTAGTCAGCTACAGTCACTTGCGGGTTTATCTTTCCTCCATCTCTCCCCCATTCTGTAGTTCTGCTTGTCCTAGAGCTTCTATTTTATACATATCCATGCCTACCTCTATTCCTCTATCTCTCTATGTATCTTTCATATCTCTAAATTTCTACCACACTTATCTAAAGTATTTTTGAATTATACAATGTATTTTAAGTTACTACACTTCCATGTCTATATAGTTTCTTAGTACTTAAACCACAAGAGACAAAAAAGAAAGGACAGGCAAGTTAGGCTTCATTATGACCTTTTAAGCTGGGTATAGTGGGGGTGCTTCTATGGTCCCACCTACTTTGGAAGCCAAGACAGGAGTATGAGGCTTGCTCAAGCAACTGTGTGAGATTTCATTTCAAAAATGGAAAAGTGAAGGATAAAAATGTTTGTGCATCAAAAGGTATTGTCAAGAAAGTGAAAACATAACCAAAAATTGGAAAAAAACATTGCAAGTCATATTTCATAAGGGTCTAGTATCTAGAATATGCAGATACCCGTACAATTAGATAGCAAAAAAGGTAAATGGATCATTTTATAAAATTGAGAAAGAACTTGAAGAGACATTTTTACAGACAAAACTCACAACAGTCAATAAGCTCATGAAAAGATATTTGACATTTTAGTCATTAGGGAAACCCAAACCACAATGAGATACTATCTCACATCTCTTAATAAGGCAATATAAACACCAAAATAGAAATAACTCAGAGAAGGGTAAGTATTGGGAAGGCGTGGAGAAGCTGGGGCCCTCTCACATGGCCATTGGGCCTCTGAAACTGTGTAACTGCTGTCCTCAATAAGTTAAGTACAGAATGACTATATCTCCTGAGAATTCCACCATAAGTATAATTGAAAGAATTGAAGGTAGACTGAAATAGATATTTGTACTCCGATCAGTATTCACAGTAGCATTATTCTCAACTGCCAAAAATTAAAGACAATCCATCTGCCAATCAGTGAATGAATAAAAGCAAAATAGGGTCTATCCAGCCAATGGAATATCACTCAGCCATATAAAGGAATTCAACAATGACACAGGCATCAGCACACAGAGCCTACGAAGAGATTACCCTGAGCCAAGGAGGCTACTCACGAGTATGTAAGATCCCAGGGCAGGCAAATATGTACAGAGAGAAAGCGGATTAGTGGTTCCAGGGAAGTGGTATAGGAAGAGGAGGAAGACGTGGGGAGATGGGCTGCTTAAAGTGTATGGGGTTCCCATGTGGGGAGACGAAAATGTTCTGAAACTAGACAAGGGATATGCTTGTACAACCCTGCAAACCTACCAAACGCCACCGAATTTTACACTTTAAAATGATACATTTTATGGCATACAAGTTTTGGCACAATTAAAAATAATTCATTTAAAAGACAAAAAGGAGGAGAAATAGGTCCTAAATCGAGGTAAATTCCTCCCTGCCACTGGAACTGCCAACAGTGACCTCATCACAGCATAGTCCTCCATGGTGGGGGTGTTAGAATGAAAGGCATTCACTGATTTTTTCCTGCGTAGGTATGGAGAGGTAAGCTAGCTGGGATTTACATACATAAAAGGTTTTAGGTAAACACAGATTCACCAGAGGTATGTGCAGTCTTGGTGCCTTCCCTATAAAAATGGTGGAACCT